GTATATATTTTAATGTAATTTATTAATAAAAAAATCGAGTAATGAAGTGTCGAAGTTACCCTAATTTTCGTGATCTATATTTGTAGATCATTGTTGATTGTAAACTTTTTCCATTTAGAAAAAAAATCATCGCGCAAGAAAATTTTTAACAAACAATCCGAACAGTACTGAGTAACTCCGAGCTCGCCCTTCGCCGAGGGAACACTAATTAACAAAATAAAATAGTCATTATCGTTATAACAATCATCATTTTTAATTTATTTATGTTACTGTTACATAACGATAAAGATAACGTATCTAAGCGGATCGAGAATCAGATTTCGGTAAATTTAGCTTCGAATTTTGCGCAGCTTAACTAAAGTTGTAGTTCAAAGAGGCTGGAAGTGTAGTGATCGAACTTAGATCGAACTAGTAATAGTTACATATAAACTAGTTCTGTAGTTTTTAAATACAATTCATGTTGGATGTGATAATAAGTACGTCGACTTTCGATATAACGAAGTGCAGATTCTATTGAATTTATATTGTTTACAATAGGATCTGCACTTCGTTATATCGAAAGTCGACTGTAGTCTAAATTTTGGATGAATACCAACACGTACTGTATACGTTATACGTATAAAATATAATTGTTACGATGTGCAGATCTTATTATTATTGTAAACAATATAAATAACAATACATGTATATCGTACCAATTAGCTTGCGCCTTTTTTTAAATATTTATACTCAACGTGTCCATCTTTTTCAAAAAAAAATTCGTTTTATCAAATCTAACACAACACACCACATTAAAGTTAATAGCATACGTATAAGGTTTTCGTATTACATCTAACAAAACAATGGCTCCTAAAATTCAACGTAATTATTGCCCAGAATGTTATCAAAGTTTAAAAAATAATACTCATTGGTGCCAACTATGCCAAGCACGACATTTTGAAGAGAACGCTGATAACTGGACAACTGGCCATAAAACTCTCGATACATTTCTTCTCGAGACGCAAAAAAATGCTAAAGAATGCACCGAGTATCTAGAGTATATAGATTTTGATGGAATTATTGGTATATCGAAATACGATATAGCGGAATTAGGTGAAGTTTATACCGGAAATTGGAAGAGGGGTCCCGTTGATTCATGGGATGAGAATGAAGAACGATTCGTATGTAGAAGAGAATTAATAAGGGTAGCATTGATTTCACTGACGACAGAGCCGCGCGATTTTCTTAAAGAGTTGGACATTCATTATCGGGCAAGAAAGAATAATGGTTTGATGATGCGAGTGTTCGGAGTGACACGTGAACAAATCACTGGGAAATATATGATGGTGGCAGAAACAAATGAATGGGATTTACGACATTATGTGTCACATCACTTTGTCCGTCTAAATTGGACTCAAAAACTTGCAATTCTTCATACACTCGCATTAGGATTAATCAACCACCATCAACAGAACAGCATCGACAGCGACGATTACAATATGAACAATAGTGAATTCGCAAATAACAATAATATCGTAAAATCACATTTAGAATTACGTGTCAATGAACTTGGTCTTGGTGACTGTAAGGACTTTATGCCTATAATTGGTTATTACAGAAATGATCTACTTCCGCTATTTGCCCCAGAGATTATATTACATGGGAAAACTCATACTAAAGAATCGGAAGTTTATACGTTTGGTCTATTGATGTGGGAATTTGTTATCAATCGTCCCCCATTCTATGAAATACCACATGATTCGGAATTTGTCAGACGACTCTCAACAGGATTGTATCCAAAAACACCATCATGCGCACCAAATTGTTACACCCAACTAATGCTCCAATGTTGGCATAGTAACCCGCATCTGCGTCCGTCAATGCAAGATATTGCACAAATGCTGAGTGAATGGAGATTCCAAACTTTCGAAAAAGAAGCATTCGCAAAAGTAGAACGACGCCGAATTCGTGACCTAAAATCACGCGGTCAAGATCCCTTTGGAGCAATGTTAAACCCACAAAAAACGCATCCGCAGGCAATATATGCATGCAGGCATATAAAATTACCAAATTTCTCATCAATAAATCGGCATCGACCGCTATTTGAGAGCATACCCGACTCGAGTCGAAAGTCGGCCGAAGCTACGGTAAAAGACGAGAGTTTCTTTATTTCAAAGTCTATTCTACAATTTCGGGAAAAATTTCCGGAAGTTGAACTGGAACCCGAAGACGAAGATTTAAGTAGACAGTATGATGAGCTGTCGCTAGATTTCCCTCCGGAAATTTTAGCAAATTAGATTTTTTAATTTAGACATTGTAAATAACGAAAAATTACATGTAGTGATAATAAACAGAACAATTTAAAATTCAATTTTTTCGCTTTTATTTTTTTTGGAAGATTGATTTTTCAATATTTATGCCATTTATTATTATGTTTTGATTTTGCATGTTTTCAGCTTAAACAGCTCACGCCGACGAAAACGGTATTTCGTTCCTGTTCCTTCCTATCAACACAACACAACACAAAAAATGGCATTTACAACCTACAAAGAGTACAAAACCAGTCAGATTATCTCGAACAAAATGGTAATGGTAATGGTAACGAAAATACAATATGGATGCACGTATTTCGTTCAACAAAATGAATGTACATGTAGCGGTAGTATCAGCACAAAACTGGAAGTAACGGTAACGACAACGATAGTACAATAACGATAAGATCATCTGAACGTAATAGGAAATAATACCGATGTATCTTCCCGGCAAGTGTTTAGAAGCCGTAAATAAAAAGGGAAATGATCTTAATTTACGACGCAAATAGTAAAACGAAACATGAAAACGTAGTGGAATTGACCGTTGATCTTTTGTAAAAGTAAGTATCAATATCCCTTGTGATTATCAATATCCCTTGTGATGTCGGTGTAATGAGTAAATAAAGCAAAAGAAAACAAAGATAGTTATTAATCTTTTAGTTTGAAGGATACTTAGTTAGAGAAACAGAATACGTACTTGTATACAGTTTACGCAACGTTGACTAGTGATTTTTCCCTTCTTCCTCCATGCATTTTATGCCTATTTCATTTCGTCTATGATCTTTTTGGAATAAAATTTAACAAATTGTGAAATTAGCAGGTTTTCAGCATTTTACACTATAAAATCAGTATATGACGAGTTTGGGGAAAACTGAGAGCAGAATATCGTCTTTAGCAAAGAAACTTCATATATCGATCATTTTATAACACAAGTTGAAGGAAAAACTTATAAGGGACTATCAGTCAGTGGCCACAAAAATCTCTGCAGAGCTTGTCATAAGTATTCACAACTTTCTCTTTTGAGGTCAAGAACAACTGAAAGTGAAGCTTTTACCCGGATTATTGAAGTTGCTCTGTTATATTTCACAAGAGACAACAAAAGACTCTACACTCTACACTCGATACACTTGATTATCTATTGTTAGAAGTTGGCATGTGTGATGGCCTATGTTTCTAATGGCGATATTCATTATTTTCATTCCGGAGTCAAACAGTGGAATTAATTAATTCGTTACATCATAAGAGACTTGATATAAGGTCGGAACAAATTGCTCTCTTGTATTTCGTAATCACTGGTGACAAACAACTTTATAATACGGATCTGTTGTTTCGATCCTGAGCAGAGGATATTGTTTTGAAGATCCCATCGAAGGACGGCAATATGTTGTAAAATTGAGAAATCGCCTAGAATAATAGATAATATTTTAGAGACTTCATGGTTTGGATTTAAATAGAAATTAAAAAGTGGTGTGGGTCGAAGGGCATTAGATCAACCTTTGTATACCTTACCGTTATCATTATTTTGTGGTCGATGATGCTGTTCTTGAAACAATATTTTTGATACATTAGTTGAATCCAAGAGAAAGATCAAAGAAAACAAAACAAAAAGTATTAATTTGATTTCTATTAGTGACTATTGCTCATTCCATTTGAAATAATGAAAAAAGTACGTATATAAGAAAGTTGATTGATAAAAACAAGTTTATATAGATTATTTCAAAAGAAAGTTGTGAGAGTTCTTTCAAGTCCTCTTAAAAACAAGAGTATGATATATGGTCCAACCATTGTTGTCAACTGGACATAGGCCAATACTGCACCACTGGAACATTTGGACTTGGTAATTTTATAAGTCCAATATGGTCCAGTCCAGTAACTTCTGGTTACTGGTCATAGTATAAAGTGACAACGCTGTAAGTATAAATCTAAAATAAACTTGTTTTATCATAATAGAAGAATCTTTTGTTATTGAAATCTTGATCTATTGGAAATATCAAGAATTATAAAAAAACAAAGATGATAGTTTAACAAAAACGATGATGTTATTGTTATAGCTGTAACAATCCTTTCAGTGGCAGGTAGTTTGGCATTTATGGAGTTCCGGGACGGCGACATATTTGAAACCGCTGGGATATCACACCTTTTGAATTAACTCAATAGCACGGGCATTTTTTCATTCATTCGTAAACTATCAAGTTTAATTAACAAATTTTATTATGCAATTTAATATATAAAACTTAATTTTATAGATTGTCAAATATTAATTTGATTACGTATTCAATAATTGTCAGAAAAATGAGGTAGATACATGTATGTATTTGTTTATTGAGAATTTCTTGTAGGTTTAATAAATAGCTATTTGGGATCCATAAGGTATGATATTTATTATATCATAGAAAGTATACGGAGAAGAGAGATTAAAGTCAAATTGACTGAAAAGCAAATTATCAGAAGATCTAAAGCATGCTACAGTAGAATGGTTCCAGATCTGATAATTCAGCAACAATGTTAATTTTTTTATTTTTTACAGTACGTATACCTGCGATCAAAACTACTTCGGCCTTGACTCAATTAATTGCGTCAATGACTCAATATTTTTGACATGTGTAAGTTGATGATTTCACTGTACATGTTTTTTCAATAACGATAAGAACAATGAAGTGCTATTCTCAATAACGATAACTTGTTTTGTCACACAATGAAAACTGCGTACGTATAGCGATAGCTCTCTCATGTGTGCATCGGCTGTATCGGGATTTTGACTTATCAGATAGTCAGACAAACGAATACTATTTTGCTGTAAAATAGTTTAAAGGCATTCTTGTGTGACCACTTCTGGTTATAGTTAATGAGTAAAAAGAAATAGGATTTCATTTGATGACATAACAGGATAATAATTTCTTGATTGCAAAAGATTATGACTCGAATTGGTATTTTTCGCAGGATTACAATGTTAAAGAGAGTTCTTTTGTGGTTATCATTGCATCAAGATACGTGATTGAATGATTTAGAGTAAATCTATTAGAAAAGTAAATCTAGATGTATTTGACTAAGCTACATCGGATCAGTTTTGTTATCGTTATACATTGGAAGGATTTATAATGCTTAGTAATTCTGTTTTGTGATTTAGAACTCGCAGTTTCACAATTCCAGCATGATCTAACATAGCGGCAGGCTTTTTATTTGCGTTAAATACACAATCTTGTTATATTTATTTGTAATTGCGTATTCATCTCAAATCTCTGCACGAATTAAAATGACCAACTTAACTTCTCTATATACAACTTTAATAAGCAGGTTTTTCATTATTTAAAAATAAAAAACATGCGTACTATTCTGGAATTCTATCAATATACATGTATACTGTAGCCACATTTTATTTTAATTTGAACTTGTTTCTTTGTTTCACCAGATACATTGGATTGAATACATAAAACGGGACTGTTTGAATTTAAAATTCGGTTTTCTGGTTCACATTGGCCATTAAATTTTTTCTTTTACTGTTTTCTTTAAAAGAAAGTTGATAGCGATAGCACGATCCTTAAAAATGTGTTTAGGTTAAAGACTCCGTGATAAGCGTTATGTTACATGTACTATAAATTTACTCCGATAACGTAAATATGTTACCGTGGTAGTTTTCGATGAAAAACTCCGAATACTTCATGTTTTCCCGTGTACATGTATTTTGGGTTTTTTCCTATTTTTACAAGGTTACTTCTAAAAACTTTAATACGTAATGAATTTAATCAGTAAAAATGAGAACTGCATCCTAAATGCATGATCGTTCTCATTCCCAAACTGAATGCTTTCGTGACTGAACCGATTGCAGCTAAAAGAAGAAAGATTTCGATGTATAGAAGCTACCAGCATGCCCGTGTCTGATTAGCCATATGGTCCCGGCGAATTGCATTTAGGGAGAGTCGACTGTAGCTCCTGAAATAAATATGTACACTGTATTCAATAAAGTTTACATTTAAATTAAGAATTATTTTATTGTAACTAACGTCAGTCTAACGTTAGATAATTATGAGTCAAACTCACTACATAATTCACCAATCACAAGTTTGACAACTTTATATTCCAGCTCAAATCTGGACTTATATGTTTTTGAGCTTTAAAGAAATATATATTTTAGGTTAGACATAAATCGGGTGAAGGGGTGGGGGTCTGGATCAAAATCAGATGTGATATTGATTATATTGGGGGGGGGGGGGGGGGACCAGAGAATCACCCGATTTATGTCTCTACCCTTATTGAAATTCTCTTTTAAAAGTGTAAATTAATACATTTTACCATATACTCCGAATTTAAGCAACTCCCTAAACACCCATTACCAAGTCGCTTAAATTCAAGCAATTCTGAAATGGTGCCCGATTTATTTGCACATGCAATCTCACTATTACAAAATTTTCATTCTTAATAAGAAAATTTCCATGATTTATTGTATGAAATTAGTAATTGAGGATTTTGATTAAGAAAACATTTCTGCTGAGTAATTCGAATAAGCAAATAAATAAATACATATTTTTATATAAGGTACCTATGGGCAAAATGACGCATTTATATAAAATGATACAGTATATAAATTTACAATAATTCATAAGTAAATGCGTCATTTTAAGATACGTACTGAGTCATTTTACTTATAGCTACCTTATTATGTATATTTTTTTTAGATCCTTTACACTTTAAATATCCATTACGTATACAGTCAAACCTCTTTATAACGGCTGCATAGTTCTGAGAACTTTTGGCCGTTATAAATAAATTCATTATACAGTGTATATAACGAATATATGTGTCCTATATATGGTGGTTCCGAAATTTCATACATTATAAAGAGGATCCGTTATATACCGGACCGTTATAAAGAGTTAAACTGTAAATATTTCTGCTAGTGCCGAAAAATCATCATGGCTGTGTTATCAAAGTTTATATCTCAATGCATAGCCAAAATCACGAAACCAGGAACCCAAAACCATTTAAAACCAAGAACCCGAAACCATTTAAAAATACCAGACTTAAACGAGAATGCTCTACGAAATTTCCAAATACATAGAAACTGACTACCAGTCTCTCTCCTTTCTTGCATTTTAGTATATCATTTTTGGTGTCAAAGTGCATTGCCCTTCTATAGGGCGGACCCGTTTCATGAATTAATGGTGTCATACTATATACGATGCTTGGATTTACTGAATTACTTGGAAATTAGTAAATTCGCACGATATAACGATGCAAAATATTTGAAGAGTCTAAGCATGGGAAATCTTTATACTGCTGTGGATAAGTAGGTTAAATACGATGAAAGTCGTAAACGACAACACAAACGACGACGAAAAAATTTCCCTTCTGAAAATACGCAACAACGGATTCTCAGCATTTGTCATTCGTTATGTCGTCTTTTTTTGAGCAATAATGCAAATATCCTTAAACTTTCACTTGATTGGGACATTTGGCAAGATTATCCTTCGGAATATTTAAAAACGAACCCACTTCTCTCGTGAATCTAAGTGGTTTCTCAATGTATTACATTTACGACTGGTAAATTTTTAAACATCAAGCAAAATCAGCCGTAAGCATTGAAAAACTTGAAATTCTTGCGTATTCACTATATCCTACATCGAAACAATCCAACGAAAACGATTTGGGATTATTAATCTCACATCTAAAGAAATTCAGATTCTTTATTGGGTGTCGAACCACACTACTTGTAATATGAAATTCAGATTCTTTATTTGGGAGTCGAACCGCACTATTTCATTTGCTTAAAAAGTTCTGAGCAATCTAAATTATGAATATTATTTCTTTTCATGGTAAAAATAATGGGGTTCTAATCCTTGAATGTTGAATATAAGGATTTCTGAGTGGAACTCTATTCCGGTAAAAATATCTCTTGGTAAAGAACATTATGCTGCTGATTGGTGGATAGTTATCATTGTTGAATTTGGCAGTCGACTTACGTGCAGATACTATTGAATTTATATTGTTTACAATAGGATCTGCACGTCGTTATATCGAAAGTCGACTGTACTTGTAATATAACCGTGGTGACAAATAATGTCTTTGAAAATAAATCGAGCGATTGTGGATGCTTCTTTATTAGGTATGGCCCTTGCTTCTGGCCATTTGATTAGGTAATCTATAGCTACAGCTATAACGGTATTATTATGTGTGTAACATCCGTTATAGGACGATGTGCGTATATAAAATAAGCGCGATTTCAAGAGTTTGTTCTTAATTTACACTTAATAAAATGATTAATCCCAGCATTAATTACGCGTATTTAACTGATGTTGAAATGCAACTTTTACAACAATGCGCTTACCAATTAACTCTTTCGCTTAACGAATTAACCAAATCAGCAGTAAAAAAACGTCGTAATCCACCACGGCCACAAAATAGTTGGATAATTTTCCGAAGAGATTATGAAGCGTATTTACGTTTATGTAATCAAAATGTCAAATCAAAAGTTAAAGAAACAGCAAAGGAATGCAGTTTAAAGTGGCGAAATCTATCAAGCGAAGTCAAGCATTTCTTCAAAATATTGGAGAAAATAGCTTGTGAGAATCATAAACGTACATATCCCAATTATAAATATAAGCCAAAACATGCAAAAAATACAAGCCATAAAGAATTTATTTTTCGAGAACAGAAAAAATATGTATCTATTTCGCCAACTAAGCTTAGTACAATAACTTCTAATTCACCTCAAGAACCAATACAAATCAACAGGCCGCCATATTTAATTTACAATTCACCTCAAGAAACAATTCAAATCTACGAGCCGCCATCTTTAACTTCCAATTCACCTCAAGAACCAATACAAACTCAAGAACCAGTACAAATCGACAGTTCGCCATCTTTGACTTCCAATTCACCTAAAGAACCAATACAAATTGACAGGCTGCCATTTTTAACACTAGCAATTTATAATAATCAAGACTATACTAATAACTTTACGACAGGCATCTATAACCAACAAGATTATAGTAATGACTTTACAACGACCATTTATAATCAACAAGACTATACGACAGCAATCTATAATCAACAAGATTATACTAATGATTTAGCTCAAAATTCGCTCGACAACGTGTTCAATAACGATAAATTAAATCATAACGATAACGACAATCAACTTCCTATTTTATTTAAAGACGAATTTTTCTTCGCTGAAAGTGATGAAAGTTACATTATTGATACTAATAATGATAATAACGATAATGATTCGGTTAATACTTTTTCAGCGCCGAACACATCTAATACTCCAATAACATCACAGATATCTTCACCTTTAACACAATCACAATCACTCACACAACTATTTATGACAAAATATGATTCATGTCATTTTTAACGATTTTTATATGGTAACTTCTCCTTTATTTAGTGTTATATAGAGATAATTAATAAATAATATAGAAAGAATCATGAATAATCCCTCGTAAATAATCTTTCTGGATTTTATTTTGTATGCTTTGCGGATTTTTATTCTTTAGCTCGTTCGTTCGTTCATTCTTTTGTTCTTTCGTTACTTTGTTACTTCGTTACTTTATTTACTTCGTTATTTTACTACTCCGTTACTCTGTTAATTCATTACTTCGTTACTTAGTTACTTCGCTACTTCGTTACTTCATTTACTTTGTTACTTCGTTTACTTCGTTTCTTCGTTCTGTTCTTTCAATCTTTTATGTTTGTTCTCTAGTTTCTTAAATCTTTTATGTTTGTTCTCTAGTTTCTTATTATTTTTGTTTTGTCTACAACAAAAATAAATTTGTTATGGGAAAGAAATTTTTCTTTTTAATAGTCACATAAAGCTAGAAAATGAAAGCAGACATAAATCATTAATCTGTTCTAACCGCTTATTGGACTCGAACAATATCTTTAATTTAAATAACTTTTATTTCACAATCTTTTTAAATTTTATAGCCAAATAATCAAATACATTTGTGATACAAAAACGCGTGCTAACATGTAATAGATTTTTTTGCAAACGAAGTTTGTGTTTGTTTTGTTCGGCTAAATTGCTTCATTGAAAGATATGTTTATAGAAAATATTCTGCCACTAATCCTTATATTTTAATTATTAATATACCTTCCAAACAAAAAACTTTTCCGGGAATGTTTAAAGCTTCAATTGAGCACTTTACACCTAAATATTGAACGTTCAATTGAAAAAGCAACTCTTGAATTTAGCTGAATGAATTTGATTTCGTAGCTCCTATACCATATAATAAAAGTAAAGGATGAAAATTACTCGGATTTGATGAAACGGTCCTTTTCTTGTCATGATTCGTTGTATTTTCAAATTCAGCACGAAAGGTAACTTTCAACTTATAAGCATGTCGTTTCACTGTAATATCCGAAAGAATTTCCTGTGTAAAATTTCTTCGAGAGCAAGTTCTGGATTATCATGTATCTAGCAATGTGTAATAATTAGTGCTCCGCATGGGCCGGTTCGGGTTGACCCAAAACGAAAATAAAATAAATATATTTTTGGATATGAAAAGTCCATTTTTTATTAATATAATCTTTATTCACGTAATAATTAAACATGTACGCCATATATAATTCTATTATATAAAAAAGATTTATGCGATTTTGGATGCAAATGAGTATTTTACGAGCTTCTAAAGATCGTTCCTAAACTTGGAACGAGAAATTGGTCACAATACTAAGTTTTAATGCATGGATACTATTAATAAAAAATATTGGCCTAGTTCTATTCTAAATATTCTCATAATTTCTAAAAATTTTGAGTGTTGGTCACAAGATATTGCGTAAAATGAAAATGTTCTTGAATTTATACATGTACAGTCAACTCTCTCTGAATGCACTCTCTCTAAATGCACGTCTATCAATCGATCAAGGAAAGGTTTTTCGCAACGGGGGCGGGCGTTAGACTAAATTATTTACGGGTAAAGGGTTTCTTTGGTCGTTCTAAAGGTTTCCTGTGGCGACTTGTACGCAAATCGACCTTTTCTTATCAATATGGGATGTTTGAAAGAGGGGCTAGAGTAGAATTACTTGTATAATATAACTCGGATTACTATAATAAAGTCTAGTTCATTCCACAATGATCAATATATTCACAAACGTGAAAGGGTTTATTGATACAAGAAACAAAACCA